AAATAAAATAAAATAAAATAGGGTTTTACAGGACTGAAATCAATGTGTGGGCAAAGCTGTGTTCCTTCTGGAGACTCTAGGAGAAAATCTGTTTCCTTGTCTTTCCAGCTTCTTGAGGCTGCCTCATTCGTTGGCTGATGGCCCCTGCTTCTATTCTCAAATCCCATAGCCCCAGCCACTGCTTCTGTCATCACATCACCTTCTCCCCCATGACTCCTTTGTCTCCTAAAAGGACACTCACAGTTACATTGGGCCCACTCAGATAATCCAGGATAATTTTCCCATCTCAAGATTTCTATTATAACTTAATCACATTTACAAAGTCCCTTTTGCTACATAAGGTTACATATACATGGGTTCCGGGGATTAGGATGTGGACATCTTCGGGGGCCATTATTCCATCCCCCACAGGGCATGTAGAGTGGTAGGAGATGAGCTAAAGAAGGTTAGCAGGGAGTAGGACATGTGGGATGTCCTATTAATTATAAACTGTATAAAAATGGCAGCAACATGTTCTGATGTCCTTTTTTAAAAACCACTGCTTGGTCGAAAATGGGTTTTAGGTAGAGACGACAGCATTAGCTCATGGATTTGAGCTAGAAATGTCTACAGTGGTATGTGCTCCCTGAGAAGTCGCCTGTCCCCCAGACTCAAGGGGAAAAATCACTCTCTGAGTAGGACGATGCTGGGCGGAGCCATAAACAGGCAGACTCAGAGAGAAGGGAGACCACTGGGTGCTCCCTGCATTAGACTTACACAGACCTTGGCTGTGATATGTGAAGTTGCCACAGCTCATTCTGCCAGGGGACCAATTTTGCTTATCCTCAACACTCGGGTAAATGAAATGGTAAATATTATCAGTCCTCCATATGCATTTGTGTTTGTTTAAGGACTCAGACTGAGGATCCAAAAAGATTTTTTTTTTAATTTTATTGGGAATTGGGGGAGGAGAACAGCGTTGGGGAATCGGGGAAGGGGAACAGACAAGTTGTTGTCATTTTGTTCTTCAGTCTAGTTGTGGAGGATGTCACTTCACTGGTCCATGTTGGTATTATCATTGTGTTCTTCCCAGGTGAGGCAGTCGCTCACTGGCAATTGGACCGCAGCTCACAGCAGCTCACGGCAACTCACGAAAGCTCACGCCTGCTGCTGGCCAGCCCCCTGCAGCCTACCCATCGCAGGTGACTCACAGCTGCCCAGCTGAAGGTCGAGCTGTTGTTCACCATCTTAGCTGTAGAGGGCGCAGCGTCACTGGCCCTCATATGTGGGATCCGAACTGGGGCCCTGCTGCTCAGAGCTGGCATCCCAAGCCAACTCCTAACCAGTGTGCCACTCAGCCAGCCCCCAAAAAGATTTTTTAATTTTATTTTTAAGATTTTTATTGGGGAATTGGGGGAAGGGGAACAGACAAGTTGCTGTCATTTTGTTATTCAGTCTAGTTGTGGAGGATGTTGCTTCACTGGCCCAAGCTGGCACCATCATTGCGCTCTTCCTGGGGGAGGCACATCAGTCGCCGGCTTCTGGATGGCCGCTCACTGCGGCTGCTGGCCACTCACGCTGGCTGCTGGCTACATACGGTAGCCCATGGCAACC